AGAAAGAAAAAAAGGAGCGGTTGGGAGCTTTAGTCACCCGCCAGCCTGAAAAAAGCCATCAGCCCCTCACCCAGGCTGGCCAGGCACCCAAGCGGGACCCCCACCCTGATCTGGGACACCCTTCAGGGCAAACCAGCTGGCCCCCACCCGTGCACCAGGCCTCTATCCTATATAGTAAAAGGGTAATATGCAAACTGACCCTAACAGCAGAAAGACTGGGAATGACTGGTCACTATGACACACACTGACCACCAGGGGGCAGACACTCAATATAGAAGCTGCTCTCTGGTGGTCAGTGCGCTCTCACAGCGGGGAGCTCTGCTCAACCACAAGCCAGGCTGATGGCTGCCAGTACAGAGGTGGTGGTGGGAGCCTCTCCTGCCTCCTCAGCAGCGCTAAGGATGTCCGACTGCAGCTTAGGTCTGCTCCCCGCTGGCAAGTGAACATCCCCCGAGGGCTGCCGGGCTGCCAGAGGGATGTCTGATTGCAATCTTAGGCCCAATCCCCCGGGGAGCAGGCCTAAGCCAGCAAGTGGTCACCCCTGAGGGGTCCCAGACTACGAAAGGGCACAGGCCGGGCTGAGGGACCCCCTACCCCCGAGTGCACAAATTTTTGTGCACCGGGCCTCTAGTTTCTTTATATTGTCCTGAAACCTTCTATTTATATCCATCTGTCCTTGCGTCTTAGGATCAAGCAAAAAAACAAAAAAAATTATAATCTTTTTTCATGAACAAGCCTTAACCTTTACATTACACATACAAAAAATCATGTCCACCAATTTTCCTTCCCCTCTATCCAAGATAAGAGTCAACTATTCTTCAGCAACCTGGTTTCAGGTTATTTCCACATTGAGTTGTCTTCCTTATGAATGTATCTAATTTGTCCATAATTGTGTGCAGAACTCCAATCTGGTCATTCCAGATTATACAAGGGTTTCTGAAAGGAGTTTTTAGGGGTAAAATAGGCAGGTTTAGGGAGTTTTAGGAATTAGGGGGTTCACAGGGGAGGAAGGCACATTTGGCTGGGGATTTGGAGCTGGCAAAAGGCATACATTCACAAAGAACTAAAGGCTCCACAGCCTAAAGGGAGAGGAAGATACCCATTCACAGGAGATAAGGGGAAAGCCACAGGTAGTAGAAAAACAACAGGGAGAAAGAGGAAAACAGATTTTCACAGGAAAAAGAGAATTCTACCACAGGAGGGGGAGAAAGAGAGGGGACCCCACGTGGGGTTTGAGCTTTGAAGCTGCTATAGTGACCAATCAGAGGAGAATATCAGGACACAAAGAACTGCAGCCTTTATAAACCTTAGGAAAAAGGGACTTACTGGGCTACCCCTTTGTAACCCCCTCTCCACGTGGGAGTCTGTACTTGTTTCCAATAAATTTCCACCTTTCCATATACGACCTTTTGTCCGTGGCTTCATTCTTCAAATCCACCTGGACAAGAACCTGGGAAAGAAGCCACCTTTGCATCCTGCCCAGAAGAAAACCAATCCTTTCAGTTTGATTTCTGCCTTTCATTAGTAGGTATTTAGCTGTTGCAATTTGTCAGAATTGAGGCCCAATAGTGGTCCAGTTATATTATATCAGGCAGTAGTATTTCAGAATTTATTATGATTATGGATCACCTTGCTTAGATGCATATTTCTAGGTTTCACCTGATTTGTTAGGTCTTTTGACATTTTTTAAAAGTAGAGTGTACAGGCACATACAACAATCAACAGAATTTGTTTGGTTGCCAGTATTTTTATTATTTAACTCGGAGCCAGTTTTTACTTAGATACATGCTATCTTAATGTCTTAAAATTCCTTCTCAGCTTTCACTCAGAAACATTTACCTCCATATTAGTCACTATCTCAAACCATTCATTGGTAAAAACTCCTTCATTTCCATTGAATTCCTTTCTTTTAATGAAATTCAACTCCAGTTACAAAATTCAAGCCTAAGTAATCTTCCTTACTTCAGTTTCCTAAAAGTAATTCAAACTTGTCCTCAACACTGTGTCCTAAGAAGTATTAACTGCTGCATAACATGCTGTTCAAATATGACTTTTTGCTCCTCAGTTTTAACTGATGTATGAAGGCTATTGGTGATGCTGGCCAAAGAGAATTCTGAGAGCAATGACCATACCTAGTGAAATCTGAGAGGAGGATTTACTAGAAGAGAACTGGGCAGAAGAGTCAAGAGGGTGCTATCTTCTAACCCCAAGCAAAAGTAACAAAGAATTCTAAGGATTACTCAGAGAACCTGAAGTGCAACCCCTGCAGTTGTGGATGCAGTGGATTAGCAAGAGGGTCTCTGTTAAAAGGATCCTGCTAAGAAGGCAGTCTGCCAGGGCAAGAGGACCCCAACGGTAAGAGCCTTTTGTAGGCACTGCAGCTAGGGAGCTCAGGAGAAGCCTGGCAAAGAAGAGGCAATGCCCACCTCAAGGCAGGCACAAAGAGAGAGAAGCAACAGGGGATTCTTCACAGATTCACAAAAGTCCAAATGAGAGAATCCGTTTTAAACATCTGCTAAACTCAGAGAATATAAGATCACCCTTCCCTTGCTTTCTTCCAACCCCAGTTGGGATGAAAACTGAGGTTTTCCTGCTGAGAGATGAGCAAGAGGAGACAGAAGACTAAATTTTAAATAATGTTTGAACTTGTTATAGTATCTGTGACCAAGCAAATTTAATTAATGAATCAAGACTCTTTTGGTAATTTACAGTGACTCTAGGTTTGGCTTGGGCTTTTCCAGTGGCAGGAACATATCCAGTCATTCACCAAGCAGATTTAAGGGGACAGCGGAAGACAAAAATAATGATTTCTAACTGTATCATATTAGACCTATTTACTCAAACTGATTAGATATGTGCCTGTGAAAAAAGGGGAACCAAAAAATTAGACTGAAGCAAAATAAAATTCTCAGCCTCTATGACTAGCAAGTCCGCTAGAAGTTCTAGCTAGTGGACTGAGGATGATAATTTCCTATTTAATTCAGGTCTGTGGAAGTTTAGGTTGCAGCTTCTGTTTCCTATCTGTGATGACAACCTTCTGGGATAGATTTCCTACACAAAGCCAGATTTTTTAGTAGGCTCTTCATCCAATTAAGCTATTGAAAATATGCACACTGTTCGGTTCAAGATGGCAAAATTGCTACACAAGTGTTCCCTCCAGCCCTCTCCAAATCCCACTGAATGACAGTGAAGATGCACAAGGAACAGTATGAATCTACAACAGTGAGGAAAACAGAACAAGTTTACGACAAATTTCTGAAAATGGCATATCTGCAGGGGCTAGTCAGAGTACAGGATCCCAAAGTACCCATGCCCCGATTTTAAAAAAACCTAACAGAGATTCAGCTGAAAAAGCTGATAGAGGTGGACAGAGAAGTGCTGATGGATAAAATATAAAATATAACAGTAGGATGTATATCAAGATATAAAAAAAGATGGAAATGTGAGCAAAATATAAGAAGAAATAAAGACTTCAAGAGATCAGAGATATAATTAAAAGATTTCAAAAAAAGGACAGAAGAAATTATCAAACATGTGACAAAACATTTATACAGCACTGAAGAAAGTAAGTCCTTAGATTGAAATGGATCACTGTGGGAGCACTCATTCCTCAAAACCTGCTTGCTGCACCATGTGTTGGGTACATAGGTCCTGATTCTGCCCTACTACATCAACTGTTGGGTCCAAGCCCCTCTACCAAGGACTGGACCTTCTTGGACGCCAGGTAGTAGACAGAGAAGCCATGAGAAGTTGAGGATGTATAAGAGAGTCTTTATTGTAGTAGCCAGTGTCCATTTAGCAAGGAGTCACTAGACAAAACAGTACTTCAAAGTAAAGTCCCATACACTAGATAGCCACACACTGGCTAGGTTACAATACATCTTTCCTAGATAGTAGCAGCAGCCTCTGTCCCCATAGCTATTAACTGAGCAGCCTCATGCTGCCTCTGGACCTACAGCCTCTCATAATAGCTGCATCTGAGCTCACCAACTCAGCAGCCTCAGTAATATACTTTAATATTACTTAGACAAGAGAGGCTTTCTGCCAAATACTGACATCAATCATTTGAATTATAGAAGGGCATGTCTGCACAGTGTACCATGAGATTGCTGCATCATTGCAACTGCATATAGTCCTTGGACACCCTGAGTAAGAGTCCCACATTCAGAGTGGTCTTGGACATCCGGTGTACTCTGAACAAGACTTTTATACTCTAACTGGTGGTGAGTATCTGGCATAATCTGGCATGGTTCCAACACTCACCTCTTTTCAAGCAGAATGGATGAGGCAAGTCATGTCCTAACACATGTCTGTGAAATTTTCCAACTCTAAGGAGAAAGAAAAAATATCCCAAACTTAGAGTCTAAATATCAGATCACCTGTAACAGAATTCTTATGAGCAAAAATAAATGTTAATACTGGAGTGATGTGTTCAAATTTTAAAAGAAAATAATTTGGGATGTATAGTTTCAAGTCCAAAGAACTATTAATCAAGGATAATGGTACAATAAGTACACTTTCTGACGTGCAACTATTAACTTTTACTTCTTTATTCTTCAATTCCTGCTTCTGAGAAACCAACTTGAGTATATATTTTAGCAACATGATGGCCAAAGAAGATAGAAATAAATATCAGAAAACAATGCCACTAACACAGATATACTTTTAAGAAAAGACAACTGTAAAGCATGCCCAGAAAACAAATATTTGATAGTCTAGTATAAGATCAAGGACTATGGGAAGGATCTCACTGCGAGGAAAGAGAAATCTGTATATAATTGAAAAATGAATCATTTAAAAGGATAAATAAAGGGATATATCGCTTCTATGAACCGGCAAAAACAAAGGCAATAAAAAAAATCTCAATAAAGCATGAAAGCAAAACAATGAATGCTAAAAATATAATATATCACAAATTTAAACAATGTAAAATAAAAGAAATATAGAGGGAAGGAAAGAAAGAGAAAAAGATGAGCCACCTGGACTTGATGCTAGAAATATGTAGCTTTAAGTGGCACAGAGTTATTACATGTCACTGACAGTGCTTTATTTGTACTTCCCATGGAGAAAAATAGGATAGGGGGTGAATAAACTTTGTTTTATCCAATTTATTTCCATCCATGCCATAAATTAACAAACATGCTGACCTGTAAGAAACTAAGGGCATTTGATACATTCTGAGAGACACCTTATTACTTGTTTTGAAAATGATTCCTTAAAGGAGGTTTTCAAGTCCGTTACTAATGTGTGCTGCTCCTGCTGGCCCATGCGTGTCTAGGATTTCAGAGGGCTGTGGTTGATTGTGCTCTGTAACACCTGCACCATTGCTATCCAAGGCATCTCACTTAAATGAGAAGTCTGCCAGGTAAAAGCTGTAAAAATGCTTCTGCCAGACATGGCCTGGCAGTTTGCCACATCTAGAGTTGCTTAATGCTGGGAGCTGCGAACCCCGTCAACTGACTGCAATCAGTAAAGTCTTAGCATATGAAGGTCTGTGCTGGCAGATGCCATCTGGGTGTCAGAATACAGATCCTTGAGGACAGAGCTCCAGCATGGAAATGCAATACCCACTACAGGTCAGAGGTTGTGATGAATGAAAACTAAATTTCCTTTGTTTTGTGGCTGAAACTATTGATATAACTTGATATATGGTAGGCACCTAAGATATGCTTGTTAGATGAAGAAGGGGAGGCATATATTAAATGAGTAATTGAGTAAATGATATTCTGACCAGTTAGTTTATTCAGACTTGTGTAATCCGAGTGGATATTTCCCTCATGACTATCCTTAGTGAGTATTCCTCTTATGGTTAACACTTTAAGATGTATTTTGAATTTTATTTTTATAATATTTTAACATGCAACAAATGCTTTGTTCTCCATTTTGCTATTCCTTCAAATCTAAATAAGATTCATGAAGATTTATACCTGACACACATTAAATGCTTAATAAAGATTAGCTATTAACTATTATTATTTTTAAGAGTTGAAGAATAATAGGGAGATGGGCATGGAAATAAAGATAGAGGTAGAGCTAGAGAGGTATAACACTAGCAATAAATGGATGGAAAGGGAAGGGAGAGATTGGACAGAGACTAAAAAGGCAAAACCAAACTTTCTCTCATTCCATAATGGAATACGTAACAATGTGAGGCCTGCATTAACAATGTGAAGATAAAAGACGTTGGATCATTACTTGGAACTTGATCATTTAACTGCAGAACTACTAACTATTAGCTTGAATTTACTTTTATTATACCCTCAAAGATGGAACCATATACTTTGTCCAAATTAGTGAATAAAACACATTGTTAGTAGCTTTAAGCCAGTGAATTGGATTTCAAAAACAGGAGTACAGTAGTCCCCCCTTAGCCACGGTTTCACTCTTCATGGTTTCAGTTACCCACACTCTACTGCAGCCTAAAAACATTAAATGGAAAATTCCAGAAATAAACAATTCATAAATTTTAAATTGCTTGCCATTCTGAGTAGCATGATAATATCTTGCGCAGTCCGGCTCTATCCTGCCTAGGATATGAATCATCGCTTTGTCCAGTGTCTCCACCCCCTATATACTCCCTGCCCGTTAGTCACTTGGGAGTCACCTGGGTTATCAGATCCACTTAAGCAGTATCGCAGTCCTTGTGTTCAAGCAACCCCTATTTTACTTAAAAGGTGCCAAAGCACAGGAGTAGTGATGCTGGCAATCCGGGTATGCCAAAGAGGCTGTAAAGTGCTTCCTTTAAGTGTACAGAAAAAAACAGACTATATATACTAGTAGAGTTTGGAGATCTTGGAACATATCCTCCATGAATAAGGAGAGACTACTGTCTATCAAAATGTTTATTGTTATTATTTTGTATGGGTAATAAATATTAATTGCTCCACAACACTTGGGATGCAAGAAATGTCACATTACTTTGCGTTTGTACCAATCAAATCAAAACTAGGGCTCAAGCCATTCACTTAATTTAATAAGAAGTCCGATTTCAGAGTTTCTTGCCTTCTTTCTTAGACTGTGGTAGAATCTAGGATATTACTGCCTGAAAAATTCGAGAGAGGACATTCTGCTTATTAATTTGCTGTCTTTAATTGATAAAGATGTTCTTGGATGGAATAAGGGCAAACTCCACCCACCCATGGGACAACAAAATCCAGAACCCAAGTACACAAAGGCATGCAGAGGAAATCAACTTTTTATTCTTTAGGTGAAGAATCTATAAAGGCAGGCCACCAAAACATTTCATAATAACCCATTTGTTGCATATGCAATATGAACCATTTGAGTAGAAAATGACCACTCTTCCTTAATTCTCTTCCATTTCCTTTCTTAACCGTGCAAGAGTCCTGATCAGTACAACTGGAGAGTTGGTGAGAATAAAATGTTCCAAGAGGGCTTCAAACTATATTAATGACATTTCCACATAGTACCATCTGAGTTGAGAGGAAGATTTCCCCCTCACCTCTTAATACCTTGAGAATCACTGTAAAAGTTTTCTTCATATTTTCCCAGCATTTTGGATTCCATTTTGATTTGTCCTGCTAGATA